AAAAAAGGATGTATGTAGATTTTCTTAAAAATCCATACAAACCATCACAAAATTCCCTGCAGTAACTTCTCAGTAATATTTACACTGCTTGCTCTCAATAATATACAGGTTATTTTAAAGAAAATAAACACAGCTGCTTTTAAATACAAAAACCTTGCAAGGAACAACTGAGCCTGCAGCAGCGGCACTTGGGGGCTATACCTGAGCCCCCAGAGGACACCACCCCAAGATACCCACAGGGGCCTGTCCCATGTGGGGATGGCCTGGCATTAAGCTATTAACTCCCCTACTCAGAGCTGAAGGACTTCAGAGAAGGGAGATATACTCTGAAACTGGTAAGAGCCATGAGCAAGGGCTTTTCCACAGCAGATTTCAGAGAATTGAAATTTACCAGGCTTTACCTGAAGCTGACTCCCCGTTTTCATCTGTGAAAAGTATGACCATGCTGAAAACTGTGTGTGCACGTATGTGTGAAGTCCACGAGACTATGCACGAGTAGTGCACACGGCACCTCACACGGGCAGTTTGCAGAATGACTTGGGGAGCGACCATGGGGGAGGCAGAGTGCGAGGGTCTCAGAGTACTCCAGAGGGTGCCCTGACCTTCTGACCTGACAAAGACCCGTCACACAAGATTAGAAGTCTCACGTCTGAGCTTATGCCTTTAAGAACTTTATGACACGGACAAACCCGGGGAAAAAAGGGATGTGCTGCCTGTGGTCACCTTTGGACCCAGCTGTGTGGATGCTGGCAGCAGCCTAATGTTCATCCTCAAGAAAAAAGCTGCTGAGCTGAGCAGCCCAGGAACTCTTCCTTTAAGAGCAGAGGTGGGAAACAGTGTACAAACACCTTAACTTTAAGAAACTTTTGAATTTTGAATAAGTAATTTCCCAGTAGCCGTCTTCCCAATGCTTTCAGTAAGAGTCAAAGTGATTTTGCCAGGACACTGAAATTCATTCACTTCATCTCAGCCAAATGGAGAAAACACAGGGGCCATCCTGTCAGTAGGAAGGGGGAACAAAATCCCCTCTGACATGTGTCATCTCTCAGTGCTCCAACATGGACATCTGGGCAACACGTGAAGGTTGATTTATGGGCAAATTCCTTCTACAAAGGCTGTAATGACTCAACTATTCAGGACATTTAGGGTGTGAGATGTTATGAATGAATAGTTTCCAGGGAAAGGAAGCTTCTCAATTAAATTACCAAACATTTCTTTAAAATTTCAACATTGAGGCCAGGTGTGGTGGTTCACACCCATAATCCTAGCACTCTGGAAGGCCAAGGCGGGTGGATTGCCTGAACTTACAGGTTCAAGACCAGCCTGAGCAAGAGTGAGACCCCATCTCTACTAAAAATAGAAAAACTACCTGGGCGTTGTGCCACACACCTGTAGTCCTAGCTATTTGGGAGTCTGAGGCAAGAGGATCACTTGAGCCTAGGAATTTGAGGCTGCTGTGAGCTATGACACCATAGCACTCTACTAGAGGTGACAGTGAGACTGTCTCAAACAAAAAAATAAAATTTTAACATTAAATTCCTTTAAAGAACAATATCATACATTTCCATTCTTTATAAAATTTTGAAAATACTTTCTTTCCCCCTTTCTTAGTCACAAAGGGGTCATAGGTTTTGTTAGCTTTTTAAAAAAATTATGTCTTATAAAGTCTTAAATTCCAAGCTTCTTTAGGACAATAAGTAAACTCTTATTTTCATGAAAAATAAATGTTGCTAGGTTACATTCTTTTCACTCTGAAATATAATTGCAGTAAAACTTGGACAAATCAGCCAGTGAGTGGCTGGGATAAAGCCAGTGTGTGGCCAGACATTAACATAGCCACAGGTCACACAAAGGAACAGGACAGCAGAGCCAGGCCACAGGGTGCATGGGACAAACAGGTCGCAGCAGGGGTCAGACCAGCAAGGGGCCCACAGTGATTGCCCGCTTGTGTGGGTGAGCTTGTGTGGGTGACGTGTTGCAACCAGCTCCAAGGGCCCTGCACACTGGGCAGCCATGCTCTGCTGGGTGTCAGCATGATAAAAAGGCCTTGCTCCCTTATCAGTCAGACCCCTTCAGGCTCATTCTGAGGGTCACAGTGGTGCAGATTCCCTTCTCTCTTCCTGGCCTGGCCTGAGGGGACGGCAGGGGAAGGGGTGCTCAGGCAGCAAGCACCCCCCATGGCACTGCTGATGCAGACTCTTGACAAGACCCCGCATCACCCACGCAGACCATGAGGGCCTGTTCTTGGTTCTTTCTGCCTTTGCACTTGCTGGAATCAAAAGGAGAGCCTCTAACTTTAGAGGTAAAGGTAAACCCTCACCTTCAGCACACAGCTCTTCCCGTCACTCCCAGATGTTTGCCCTAGTTCCAACACCTTTGGCACAGCTTGTTCCCACAGCGACAAGTCTGCACTCCTCTTAACCCCCACGCCCCACACGTGCATGGGAATCTGCAGGCAGCACTGGGGGGCTGGGCGCCACTTATGTGCATAAAGGAATATGACCAGCAATGACCACTGGTGTCTGGACGTACGTAACGTCGTTTGTTATGTGCTCACAAAGCCACCAAAAGAAGTCAAACCAGTGTTTCCATTAGTTTGTCTGGCACAGCTGACTTACAGGTTGTGAAGTTAACTGTAGGAACACATTTGAAACTGGGAAGCCTGTCCATATAGCCGCCTCTTCACCAGGGCTGTTGGGCAGGCTCCCTGCAGCCTACCAGTGCCTAGTCCTGACAGCCTGCTGCCTGCAGCAGCCCACAGGCATGCCCTCCAGCAGCAGACACTGGTCACCTCCACCTCCATGTTTATTCTCTCTTCTCTGAAATTCACGTGCTTCTCTCCTTCCCAGGGGATCTGCATGCCTGCAGGGAGCAATGAGAGGGACACACCAAAGACCTGCCTGCTGGAGGAGATCACCTGGGTCAGTGACAACATCTATGCCAGTGCTGCCATGGGGGGGCAACATTCTGTGCTTCTGGGACTCATTGGGCATATGAGTAACTTCTTCACTGTCCTTCCTGCCTGGTGCATTACAGCAGGACTGACCTAGGCAGAGTGTACCCAGTGATGCTCTCCTCATCAATGCCAGGACAATGCGGGGCGTTTGAGAGCCTGTAGCCAAAGCAGCCTTTGTTAAGAGGAACTCCGGTGTCCCCTTTTTTCTGTTGGCTCAGCACCTACTCCTGGCAACACCCATGACCAGCCCCAAGGGACCAAATCCTTCTGTCCCCAGGGTGAATGTGGTACCTTCAGCAGAGGCCTGTGATGCTGGGAGGACACAGATGCCAGCTCACCTGCCTTTTCAGGGCTCTGCCCCAGCCCCAAACACTGTAGCTCAACATATTCACTTCCCAGGATTCTTGAGGTCTAGCCTCAAGGGGCAAATGATAAAGAAAAATGAGTAAAAGGCTCTTTTGACCCATAGGCAATCTTGCTTTTATTTAAAGCACTGTGAGGGCCAAAGGCAGGACCCCTCAGAGGCAGGAGGAGCTGCTGCAGGGCCAAGGGTCCCCAGGGGCAGCAGTGATGGTCATAGAGAAAACTATGCCTGGGTGGGCCAGGCAGTGAGGTGGTGGTCCTCAGAGAGTGACACTGAGAGCAAGCACCTGGGGACCAGGGCAGCCATACTTCCCTCCAGTGGCGTCCTCAGACTACGGCCTGAGGGCCACATGCAGCCCACCTAGGACATTTATCCGGCCCGCCGGGTATTTTTGCTGCCGCTGCCTGTCCTACTTACCAGATGACTCATCCCGGGGCCCACAGTCTGGCCCTCCAATGGTCTGAGGGACAGTGAACTGGCCCATTTAAAAAGTTTGAGGACCCCTGGTTAGATCCTGCCTCATGTCAAGTCCCTGCCTGCAGTGGAGCAGGGTCCTTGAGAGAGAAGCAAGGCTGGTAGGGACCGTGGCATCCCCAGTACTCCTCCACATTCTCACTCAGAGCATGACACTGGAAGGGCCGTTTCTCAAAGTGCTGCCAGTATAAACAGGATGGGGTGTCACAAGCATAGCATGCTACAGGCTTTGGCATTGCTGGGACCACAGCACGTGCCACCGTGCCTGGTTCATGTAAACCTAATTTTCTCTTGCTGTTAAAAACAAGAACAATAGTAGCAAAGGGGTGAAGGTGTGGGCTGAGCCCTTGCAACACTTGTAGGGAGGTGAGGCTTGATGCCAATGGACAGCCCTACATTTGTTCCAGACAGAAGTGAGTACCTGGGTGTGAGTCTCAAACACACAGAATCAGGGCCTTCTGCCCATAGGGCAAGGCCAGACTTTCCTAGATGCCTTTGTTCATTAACTTAATCCAGAAACTGAACCATGATTTCTAGATTTTTACCCCCAAAGCAATGTACCCACAAAACCCATCAAACCCACTGAGGCCTTAATACAAATTCCTGGCAATAAACCAGCAGAGGCGTCCCCAACATCACAGGCTGATGACACCCTCCTACAATCAGACCTGCCCCCCCCCGCCCCAGTCTGTTTCTACTTATCATAATGAAATCAATGGTTTTTCCTGGAGCCGTAAGAGGAACTCCAATTTAAGAGATTTTTCAGGAAGTGCTACAGAACATCTCATGGAGTTAAAAAGGTCTTTGCTCAAAGTTATTAGAGAAAAAAAATTGTTAATATAGATTTACTTTAACTGGGCTCTCTGGAAGGTAAATGCTACAAGAGAACTTTCAGAGCTCATGCTCGTGAGTGAGTGAGTGAAGAGCCCTGCCCATGTACCGATGGGCCTCTCACTGGGTCTGGCGCCCTCTGCACTTTCTTCTTTGCCTCTTCCAGAGCGACATGACGGTTTCTTTCCAAAAAGGTAAACAAACTGTTTAAACAAACAAACAACCCCCCCCCCAACTTTTCCTCTTCTGAGTGATTCCCTGAGGGAAATTCACCTTCCTCACAGTCAGTCTGAACCCCAGGCTGCAGGCCACCATTTCAGTAGTTGTGAAAAGACCAAGGAAGGGGCGAGCAGAGGAAGGAAGGAGAGGGGCTGGGGATTTTGTGCAAGATTTAATAAAAAAAACAAAAATAGGAATGACTGCTTTCAACATTTTCCAGGTTGTGAAAAGTTTGCCACGATTATCTGGGTTGTGATTCTAAGCTGCATCAGTGGGACAAGTACAAAATGCTGTCCTCAGAAGGCAGTGCACATCCCTCTAGCGCTAGGCCATTGAGTCAGGTAGTCAGTGCTGTGATCCAGGCCAAGCCAGATGCCCATAAGGCTGTTGCGTCTGCCCTGAGGCATGCTGGCTGCGGCCCTGCTTCCACACCAGCACTCAGGATACAGGCTAGCTTATCAACAGGCTGCTGAGCCTTAATACTGACGGTGAGTGCGGGTGACAGCAAGGAAGGGGCTCTCACACAGATGCCAGCTGGAGGGATGTCCCTCCCCAGCCCCTACTGCTGGACTAATTTCAGAAAACCATGGGAAAAAAGCTTTGATGACTACAGGAAGTCTAAATCAGCACAGCAGGGAGTGGTGTGAGCAACCCATAACCAGTCTCTCATGCATCCAGACCCACAGTCAAAGATGACAATAATCACAATAATAATCATACAAAACAAAGGTACAGACAAAAAGCAGTGCTCGAGCTGTGCTGCACAAGCCGAGAAAGGTGCGTGTTCAAGTCGAACAGGGCACAGCTAGTCCTTCTTCAAGTCCCTGGATTCAAAGAGCTTCAGCCGCTCCTGTACGGTCAGGCCTTCCTTCAGACTCTGGGTGGACACAGGGCAGGAGGAAAGAAATGAGCACACATTAGCCTTTTCAGGCAAGATGGGGCTGGGCGGGGCCAGACTTGGTGGCCCAGGGCTTTAGTCAGAGAGGCAGGTGCAGGCTGCATGTCTTGAGATTAGTGGGGCATGCCAGGAAAGAGGGTTATTAGAAGAGTATGTTTTCGCATCAGAAAATTACAGGGATGAAAAAGGAAAAAAACAAGGGAAACAAGACCATGTGTTTAAGCAGTTGAAACCTGAGCTTAGAGCTCTGTGGACAAGCAGTGATCTGACACAGCCGGGCAGAATAGGCAGGATCCGAACCAGGAAACTGCCCATCTTAATCTCTGAGTGTAGACTTGTCCACATCTGGCTCCTCTGTGGTTACTGACCTAACAGCCTCAGACTGGAGGTCGAGGGTGTCCTGGCTCAGTCCCCACTCTCACACAGCCCCATGCAGCACCTGATGGGGACCAGGGACACTCCACCTGCCCACTCGAATTCTCAGGAGGCAAACCAACACTCTGCATACACAAGACCTTGGTAAAATTTATATCTGAATGTCCAGACATGAGTGGCATTTTACTAACTAGGGGATGATATATTTTCCATTTTACTCTTAGAAAAATTTCCCAAAGATTTCATTTCTTTCTTTTTTTTGAGACAAGAGTCTCACTTTGTCACCCTTGATAGAGTGCTGTGGCATCACAGTTCACAGCAACCTCAAACTCTTGGGCTCAAGCAATTCTCTTGTCTCAGCCTTCCAAGTAGCTGGGACTACAGGCACCTGCTATAATGCCCAGCTGTTTTTAGGGATGGGGTCTCACTCTGGCTCAGGCTGGTCTCAAACCTGTGAGCTCAGACAATCCACCTGCCTTAGCCTCCCGAGTGCTAGGATTATAGGCATGACCTATTGCGCCCGACCCTATTTCTTTCTTTTTAAAGAAAGAGTCTCACTCCATCATACAGGCTGGAGTGCAGAAGTACAATCATAGCTCACTGCCACTACCAGCTTCTGGGCACAAGTAATCCTCCCCCTCAACCTCCTGAGCAGCTGGGACCACAGTTGCCCACCACCATGCCTGGCTAGTTCTATATTTTTGTAGAGAGGGAGTCTTCCTCCTGCTCAGGTTGGCTTGCTCCTGCTCAGGTTGGCTTGAACACCTGGCCTAACGTGCTCTTCCTGCCTCAGCCTCCCCAAGTGCTGAGATTACAGGTGTTGAGTCACTGCACCAGATCAATATTTCATCTCTGAATAATAAAATGAATAGCACTTTTCAGAGAGTTCCAGCACTGGCTGAGACCCATGACCAGTGTCAGCAGCAGACTCAGCCAGAGCTGGCAATGATATGGACTTGACTAAGACCACAAAAAGCACGGGGGCCACAAGGACAGCCCTGGCCTCAGTGCCCACTCAGACAGGCCCTGGAGGATGGTGGGGCTGTCGCTGCCATGTCCTGTCCCTAACTGAGGACTTTCCACCAGGACTGCAGCGCACTGGCTGCTCCTGAGACCCATGCAGACAGGGGAAATCCAGCCTCTGGGTCTGCTCCCTGTGGGCACCATGTCAGAATCCCCTCTGTGGCAGAATCATGCTGCAACAGGCAAGAGGGCGGGGCACCTGGACAACCACAGTAGCCAGTACCACGTCTCCTGATCTCTGCCCCAGTGACAAGGGCAGAGCATGGGGGCTTTGGGATGCTAGAGCTATTGCAGTCCTGAGGGCAAGAAGCAGACAATCCCCCATGATGCCCCACACCCAGAGAAGGGCCACCTCTCATCAGGCCTCTGGCTTCTCTCCTGGGCTGCTACTCAGCCCAAGGACAGGACAGCACAGGGATTATGGCTTTGGGACTCACCTCCAGGGTGGCCTCTACCAAGTGCCTCCTGCTGGGCTGGCCACAGATACAGGCCCCTAAAACCTCAAAAGCAGCATTCTTTGGTCTCAATCCTAGCAAAAGCCATGCTGTCCTTAAATGAGTACTTGCTTTTATTTCATGGCATTGAGACTTTCTTTTTTGAGACAGTCTCACTTTGTTGCCCTTGGTAGAGTGCTGTGGCATCATAGCTCACAGCAACCTCAAACTCTTGGGCTCAAGTGATCCTCTTGCCTCAGCTTCCTGAGTAGCTGGGACTATAGGCACCTGCTACAACGCCTGGCTATTTTTAGAGACAGGGTCTTGCTCTAGCTCAGGCTGGTGTGAGCTCAGGCTGATCAATCCACCTTGGACTCCCAGACTGCTGGGGTTATAGGCGTGAGCCTCTGCACCCAGTCTGGCACTGAGACTTTCTGTCCTTCAAGGTAGGATATAGAAACAGGGCACAACAGGCACACTTGGGTCAGATGCCACATGAAAAAGCACCAATGGGAAGTGCACTTTCTGGGTGACTTTGCTTCCTGTCTTCTCATGGCACGGGAGGAGTCTCCAAGTACAGCCAAGGAGAAGGATGACACCCACCTGTGTGCTTCTTAATGTCTCCTGAGAGGGGACACTCTGCCCTGCACTGTGGCGTCCCAGAGGAGGGCTGTGAAGAGCCCCTTCTTCTGCTGGGGGGCCTGGCCCTGCATGTCAAGGGTTTTCTTACTATGAAACTGGCCATACCAAGCACCAACTCACAGTTCCTGTCACGGGGCCTCTTTCCACCCTTTCCTAAATCCTCCTTCTCTGGGAGCCTACTTCACTGTGGGGAATCTTCCTGCCCCACCCACACTGGCCCCCAGCATGCCTCCCTGCATAGGACTTATTGTCAGGGGCGAAGGGTGCTCACTGTACTGAGACACATCCCTGGCCCTTACATAGTGGGGCTATAGCACAGCCTCCCTGGAGGGAAAGGGCAGAAGGTCTCGGTCCCCTCACCCCACTATCACTTGTGAGTATGGTCCACAACAGTGAACTTTAAACTCTTCAGAAAAAGTTCAAAGATAACAGCTAAAGTTTAGCATCAATGGAAATAGATTCTTCAATAAGAAAGTCATGTTCCACAAAAGAACAAGTTTCCTTCTGTTAAACAAAACATTTTTCATATTTGAAGAAAAACCCCAAACTAAGTTTTCAATCAAGCCTAAACCATATTTGGTTATAAGTGACTTGGGATCATAGAAAAATAAACCAACTGACTAGGTTCAAAACCCTTGGATTTTTTCAAATCTTCCTAAGGCAAACTCAATTCTCCTAAGCCTTAGGCTGACATCCCTTGGCCCACAGGATGCCGTGGGATGTGGGTCCCCAGGAGATGAGTCAGCAGGTTTGCAAAAGGAGTTGGTGTGGCATTTCCATTCTGAATCATCCCACCCTGAGTGGATGAGCCTGAGCTGCCAACTCAGCAGCTACTCTCAGCCCCGTGAGCAGACAGGAGCTCAGTGGCTAGGGACACAGCATCCTCCTGCTCACACTCACACAAGTTGGGTCTCTCACCCCAAGGCCCATTCCCCAGCTCCTCTTTGGGACAATGCCTTCAACAGCATCCAGCAAGAAGCTTGATTTAAAAAAAAAAAAAATGCTTGCTGGTAAATAATTCAGCCTCAGTTGATGGATACCATGCTCTTCTGAACCATTCCTAAGCTCTGCCCCTGACTTGTTCTTGGCCTGTAAGTCCCAAGGACAGAAAGGCCCTGACAGGCAGGCCCCACACCCAGGAGGCTCCTCTGCTGCCTTGGGCAGCTGGCTGACTGCCAAATGAGTGAAGCCTGCAGTGACAACAATGGGTGTGTCAGCTCCACTTCACAACACAGGGCAAGATGGGTGTCCCAGGGAAGGTAGAGCGCCTGCATGCACAGAGGCCCAGCATGCATGCTGACAGGGGCAGTGGCTGCCAGGCCAAGGAGGCCCCAGTGCCTGGGGCCGGATCTGTTAAGAGGTTAGAGTGCAATGAAGTCCCCTGTGCATGTTAACGGACCCTCCTTTGGATTCTGTGTGCTTATTGGAGACAGATGAATTAAGATGAAGTGACCGTGATGCAGGCGCTTGCTCTGGAGGTGTGAGTGGTACATGCAGAGACCACCCCCAGGCGGGCAGGTCGGTGGGTGGGAGAAGTGTTTTACCTATATGACAGGGACCTGGAAGCAGGTGCGTTTCAGTTATCCCATGAGACCTGCTCAATTACGGACTGTCAGAGGAGAGAGCAGAAATGACACACAGTCAATCCCAAATGATACCTGCCAACGCCCCATCCTGCCTGCAGAGCTGTGTCCCTCTGGAAGCAAGCAGGGGTCCTTGCTGCGCCGGGGACTGGGGCAGCTGTTTCTCAAAGGCAGGTGGTGTTGGTGTGTGACTGTGACACACACAGAGCAGTATGGACACCTGGTTGGCTCGGGGATGGGAGAGAGGTTAGCCTTGGGATAGGAGGCGAACCACTCAGCCCTGCCCTCACAGTCTAGTCTCAGTATCGCTGCCAGGTTGTGGGGACAGAGCCACCAGCACTCGCCCAGTAGGGGGGGTTAGCAAACAGCTGCAGTGGTCCCTCTGCCCAGCAGTTTCCAGCTCCACGCAGAGTCCAGACTCCAGCTCACCTTGGATCTGATGTTTCTGAGCTGCCGGGCAACACAGGATCGGTCTTTCTTCAAGAAGTCGGGGTTACTTTTAGATTTCATTATATCTGAAAGAACAAACAGATCCATTACCTTTGTTTTCTAAAACTCTCTGGAATCAGGCTGAGTGTTTAAGCATTTTCCAAGCTTATCACTGCAGCATATTTACAACATTTCTTTAAATAATACAAAGGGGATTCAAAGCCAAGGACCATTAACACACATTAGGTCTTTTGAACCGGAAAATGCATGTGGGCCCAGTGCATTGACAAAAGCCCCAAGCAAGGTCTCTGGTCCACCCTGGACTTCAGCACCAAGCGGACCAAGGGTCCCCACTATTTACTGGCTCCCACCTTCCTCCTGGTACACAGCACTGTTGTGAAACAAGGCCAAGGCCATGTCCTCACTGCCTGCCCACAGGACAACAGTCCATTAGATTGTAAAAATGTCTGCTTAGATGCCTGTCAGACAGACATATACTGGGTTGTACCATACTATAAACCTATCCCGTGCATGAGGAGACTGGGTCTTGTGGGGGTTTTTTTGTTTTTGTTTTTTTTTACTTTTCAACTGAAAAAGAAGGTGTGATTTATTGTTTACTTGTTATACTCAGCCAAAACTAAGAATAGAACTAGTCCAGAATGTCAGGTCCAGGGCAAAGGACCAACAGGGACTGTTGTGGTGTGAGTAAGACAGGTCCCTCAGACCTTGGCAGTCAGATGGTGAAGTTCTCTAACCAATGCGAGGCATGCTCCCAGCAGCTTGTAGCAGCGTCCTCCACCTCTGGCACCCATAGCCCTGGACATGTTCCTGGCCTTCACGTGTGCACAAGCCCAGGATCCCTAGACCTCTGTCTTGTCCATCTGTGACACTTTGGTCTGCTCATTTGCCTCTTCCTCCACTTGGCTCTTACAGTTGAGAGGTTTCTAGAAAGATGGTGGTAAGGCCAGGAGTGGTTTTGTTTTGTTTTTAAAGAGGTGGGGTTTTGCTGTATTGCCCAGGCTGCTAGTCACAGATGTGATATCACTGCTGATCAGCACAGGGGTCTCAGCCTGCTCCATTTCTGACCTCACATTTCAGCCCTGTGCAAGCAACCTGGCAGTCCCAGCTCCTGGGAGGTCACCACACAGATGCCTGACTGGCACACTGTATGACAGCCCAAATCCCGCGGGCTCCAGCATCCTCCCCACTCAACCTCCTGAACAGCTGAGCTGACAGACCACTCCTGGCTGCTTCATGTATTTATGGATCTCTTTCTGTGTCAAAACAAAAACATCTACCTTAGGCGTCCTCAACTACAGTCTGTGGGCCACATGTGGCCTGCTGAGGACATTTATCTGGCCCGCTGGGTGTTGCTGCCGCTGCCTGTCCTGCTTAGCAGCCAACTCATCCTGGGGCCTGCAGTCCGGCCCTCCAACAGTTTGAGGGACAGTGAACTGGCCTCCTATTTAAAAAGTTTGAGGACCCCTGACTACCTGAACTCTTTTGACAACTTTTAAGAACAATATTCTATTGGGTAGCAATGCTATAGTTTAGACCAGGCGTCCTCCAACTACGGCCCATGGGCCACATGCAGCCCACCTAGGACATTTATCCGGCCTGCCGGGTGTTTTTGCTGCTGCTGCCTGTCCTGCTTAGCAGCCGACTCGTCGCGGGGTCCGCAGTCCAGTCCCTCCAATGGTCTGAGGGACAGTGAACTGGCCCCCTGTTTAAAAAGTTTGAGGACCGCTGGTTTAGACAATCCTCTGTTTGATGCCTAAAGACAGAATGCAATTTTTGGCTCTTCTAAACAAATGCTCAGGTAACTACTTGAACATTTCTATATACCTGGTTTATATACTTTCCCCACATTCTAAGTCTTCCCCTCCCCTTGTCACCTGGCTCCTAGATATCTTCTTCAGGAGCAACCACCGTTATCATTTTATTACTCTTCTAGACCTGGCCTATCATTTGATTTTAAATTTTGTCACACCCTGTCTGACTGCTTCCCAGAAGACTGGAATTGAGACTTCCCTCAGTAATGCAGATGATCTTTTCTAAAAGTATCCATCAATGCAGCCATCATCCCTATTCCTTGGCTAGCTGACAGATCAACATGACGATCAGATGAAACATGTATTATCTGAAAGTGCTTGAGAAAATGGTAGGTCTTCAACTTCTTTGCCATCTGTTGTTTTACATGGCTACCTAAATGCTTGTGGCCAACAAAAGAACAAAAAGAAGGATCAGCCATGCTGTTCACCTCAGAATGCAGGGTGCTTGCCCCCTGCCCCATCCCATGAACTTCCATGGACATTATGCAAGATCCCAGGGTCAATCAGCTGCTTCAACTCAGCTGCTGAGCTCTTCAGGAAACAGGTAAATGAGACTCATCGTTACTATAAAACATGCGCTGGTAGTGTGGCTTCTCCCTGAGCACGCAGCCTACACCTGGCAGAAAGGCTGTCTCACTAGTCCTCAGCACTGCACCCCCCAGTCCAGAGGGGCTGGGGCTGCTCTGAACCAAGCATAACCTGCAGGGCGCAGCCTGGGCACGTACCATATCCTGACACAGAGGGGCTCTCAGGTGATTTCTCCCCCAGTGCTTCTGTTGCAGCCTTGAGCTGTTCTTTCAATCTGCTGACGTCACAGTCGGCCTTTGCCTTTGCAATACTGAGCTCTGTGTAGATGTCTTTGTACTTGTCACTGGCATACTTCTTGTCCTTGGGAAAGGAAAATAAGCCAACAGCAGTTATAGCCAGGGGAGAAGAGTGACGTGGAACTTGGCCAGGCCCCAGGGCTGACCACCTGGCCCTCACCTCACCTCCATCTTCCAGCAGAAGAAATCCAACATAAGGGAAACAGCAGGGGATTAGGACACATGCACAGCAGGAACCCCCCATCAGAACAATGTGGAAGTGTGCAGACCCAGCAAACGAAGGACTCCCTGGCCAGCCTGGTGTGGCCGTCAGCCTAGAAAACCCTCTCTGGACTTTCTGAATGACTAAATGGCCACCAAGGACTCCGTCATTTCCCTCCCAACTCCAGATGTTCCCTGCAGGAGCCAGTGGCTAACCTTGCTCAGGTCGCCTCACTTCACAGGACTCATCTCTTGGGCTCCATTAATCCCACCAGAGCACATGAGAAGCACTAACCAGGCAGCAGGGCCACACATGTGTTTCCATGCATCTGCTTGCTGAATGATGTCTACTCTAGAATAGCCTGTGCTCAGCCTCAGGCCTGTGCGTTCAGGAGACATGTGGCCTAGAGCTGGTCCCCAGACCTGCCCTCCCATGGAAAAGCGGTCTTACCCGCAATGCTGTCTGCAGCTCATCCTTGAGGGAGCTGATCTCCTGCTTTAGGTACTGTATTTCTGACTCCTTAACCCTCAGTAAGACCTAGAATGACAGAATCAGGGATTGACAAACCAAAGACCAAAAATCGAAAGGCAAGCAGATTCCCACCCCCTCCCCATTCCCCAGGGCCCAGCTGTAAATATAATTTAAATAGCTTTCAAAGCTACAACTTATATATAGAAATAGAAAGAAAGAGGAAAGAAACTGCTATGATTCTATCCAGGCATGGTGGATCACGCCTGTAATCCCAGCACTCTGGGAGGCTGAGGGAGGAGGATCACCTGAGGCCAAAAGTACAAAATAAGCCTGAGCAAGTGGAGACCTGATCTCTACAAAAAAATAGAAAAACAGCCAGATGTGGTGTCAGGTGCCTGCAGCCCCAGTTACTGGGGTAGCTGAGGCAGGAGGTTCATTTGAGCCCAGGAGTTTTAACTCTATCTCTACTAAAAACTTTAAAAATTGGCCAGGCGTGGTGGTGTGTGCCTATTGTCCCAGCTATAGGACTTGAGCCCAGGAGTTGGAGGCTGCAGTGGGCTACAAGCAGCCCACTGCCCCCCAGCCTGGCCAACAGGGCAAGACCCTGTCTCTAAAACATAAATTAAAAAAATAAAAATAAATGCTGTGATTTACCCCCCCAGCCCCCGCCGCCATGCTATGACACCCCCACCCCAGCCTGGGTGCTGTGTGCTGAACCTGACCAGCTACTTGTCTACAGGACTCAGCATCAAGGCTCAGGAAACACATTATGGAAACCTGACAAACTCGCTCAGCCTCTTCTGCCCATCTTTGTGGTAAAGTACTCATTTAGTATGAGACATTTTAAAATGAAACTTAACTGAATAGAGAGAACTCTAAATGCTTTCTTATAAAGACACTTTATATACCAGAATCAATCTTTCTGAGATAAAGCAAACCTCTGGGCCCTGAGAAGTAGGTGTCAGGTAACCTTCAAGCAGCTGCAGCCCCATCTGCCTACAGGTGATCCTTCTGGTCGGGCAGAGTCTGTGGTGTGGTGGAGCTCCGCAAACCCACAGCATCAGAGGGGCCTCTCCACCTGGCCCCCGCTCCACCCAGCAGCTAACTGCTCCTTTGCCTTCTTGGGCTACTTCAGTCTTTCCATGCTGTTCTACCCTTGCTGTCTCACAGCCTGTCCCTCCCACAGTCCCATGAGTGAGGGGCCACTCCACACTCCCCTCAGGTCCCATGAGGTACAAAGCTAGGCAAAGCAGGACCTGGCTCCCACTGGTACCTCCAACTCATAGGCATCCTTGCCCTGTGTGAGGGGTGACCCAGCAGCCTCCCCGCCGCCATCCCCGGTCAGCAGCGTCCGTAACCGTGTAATCTCTGCAGCCAGGCGGTTGTTCAGCTCCTGGGGGCAGCAATACAACAGTGACACTCCACAGAGCTGCCTGGGGCCAAGTCACACGATGAGGCCTATGAGGCCTGGGAAGATCATTTCCTACCGACAGTGTGCAGCGGTCAGGCACTGAGCATAGGGTATGGGCAGTGTCTGTGCTGCTGGCGTGTCTGAGACTGGGGGACTGCCTGGCCTGCATCATGCAGCCTCTCTCAAGGCCTCTGAGGATGCTGCTGCAGAGAGGTGCGCACAGTGTGCAGCTAACAACCCTTCAGCCTTTTCTGTCATGACTGCTAGATCACCTGTGCCATGGCTCATCCCACGTGAGCCCCTGCAGCCCCACCCTGCCCCTTTTCCTCCCACTTTCTGGACTTCCTGTCTGACTAAGGCCACTGCAGTAACTGAGTGGATCCAGTCCTGCCTGTGAAGTGGCCATGACCCCAGGGAATTCCCAGGTGGGTGTGAGATTGCGTGCCCAGCACCAAGGGCAATGCTCACAGGCAGGGTAGGGCAGAGCACCATTTCACCTGGTCCCCACAGAAGGGCTCACGATGTGCCAAACCTAACTCAGCCAGGATTTCAATGCATGCCAATTTTCCAAGGAGTGGGCAAATTTTAAGAGAACAATTTGACAAAAATAAATGTGAGCAGGAGATAGCCCTCCCTTGAGCAGCTTCAGAACAGTCCCCACTCTGGGGAAAAGAGATCTCCCATGTAGGGACAAGCCTCCCAGGCCCTACCTAGCAAGGACAGGACTCAGAAGCTCGAAAGCATGTTAGGACAACTCAGTGCCTCAGGAAGGCTGAAGTGAGAGGGACTCTACAGTTAGCATAGTCAGCTTGTGTAGTAGGCGAGTTTCTGTTCACACAGAATGACATCAGACACACCAGGTGACACCAAGCAGCCCTTCCAGGCCACATCAAGGTGCAGCCTGGCCACAGCTCCCAGGTGGGCTCACCTGGTTGTGGGCATTGAGCTCCTGGTTCTCACGCTGGCACTGCCGCAGGGCCTGGCGCTCGGCCTCCAGTGCCTGGGCCAGGTGGGCATTCTCCAGGCACTTCTGTGAGTACTGCTCGGATAGCACCTCTAGTTCCCGCTTCACCGACTGCAGCTCCTCCCTGCAGAGAAGGCCGTGCTCATGCCTCTGCCCACACCAGAACCCATTTGAGGGTGGACCGCACACACAGAGGCCTGGCCCACCCTGCTGGCTGTTCCTACCTGGTGTACCCACTGAGACCAAGGGGCACCTCATAGCACTAGCCCTGTGCCCCAGGCTCCCCTTATAGGCCTGCAGCCAGTGCCTCTCTGGGTTCCAGCCCATCATGCCACACAGACCCCCATTTCTGGGAGAAGTCAGATGTGGGACTCTCTTCTGACTGGGGATTTATTTTCAGTGTCCAATATAGCCAGAACCAGGCTCTGAAAGATGCAGAAAGTCGACTACATGAGGCTGCTCTGGCTACCCTGGATGGAGAGAGGTGGTCCAGGAATAGGAAGCTTCTAGACAAGCCACTCCACCCCAGCTGACGGGAGTATGAGTCTCTACAGCCATGTTTTTCAACCTCTTTTATCTCACAGCACACTTGAACCTATAGTTAAACTTCTAAGGCACACTTAAATTATACCAATCAAAAAAAGATTTAAAAAAAGAAAACTGTGCTTTGAACTTCTTTCGAAAATAATTGAATGACTTTCAACATTTTCATGGCACACCTAAGATTCTCTTGTGGCACACCAACTGAACATCACTGGTCCAAAGGATGCCGTCAGGCTGCCAAGAGCTTGGCCCAACTGTGCCACCTGCTCCTGAGAGGCAAGGCCCTGGCTTCTGACCCTTGTAGAGACTCTGGCGAGTCTAAGCATGGCACAGCTGTCATAGTCCAACCCCAGGGCTTCTGGCAGTGTCAGTTCTACTGAAGGGTAAAAATCAGCATCAGCTATTCTGGGCCACCCTCATGCCCAGGCAGAGAGACTCAGTACACATGTGGTTTCTACAGTAAAGTGCAGTGATCGTGGTCACTCTGCCGACATGCGGTGAGGGAATGCCAGCTACCAAGCCTGCCTGCCGGCTCCTACTGGGCTGCTAAGGCAGCATCTGCTGCTGGAGAACAGCTCCAAACAAGCCAGGATCTTCAAATTCTGCTTATTGTATCTTGTTCTTTGGATTTTAGGGATTAGCCTTTGTTTGATATAAGAAATCCCAGGGCTATGTCCTGCCGTTGGAGACAAGGGTGGTCTGAGCTGCCATAGGTCCCCAGCCAGCCCCCCACCAGCCTCCCGCTGGCCCCATCTCCCACTCAACAGATATTGCCGCCTCAGGCCTTCAACATCTGAGTTGACACTGCTAATCTGGGACCGCTGGGTCTTCTCCAGCTCCCGTTCCATCTCTTCCCGGTGTGCATTTTTCATGGCTTCAATGGCTGCAAGTAAGAATGAGCATTAAGTACTACAAGGCTGTCCTCCTGTGACCAAGGCGAGTTCCACAGAAGGGCAACACGTGCCCACAGTTAATGCTTCATCTGTCAGCAGTCAGTTTCTGTGCAACAGGCTGGAGAGTCACAACCAGCTCTTTGAGAGAGATGCAGGCTGAGAGATGTAGGCACTTTTGTTTTGGTTTTCCTTTTTTTGGTGTTACAAGAAAACCAAACTGATTAAACAAATGTTGGTGTTAAATTCAAACCTAAGTTCATAAATTAAGCAACCTGGGAGCAGGTGTATTTCCTCCTTGGCACTTAGTAACAAAGTGCCACCAGTAACAGTGAACTACACAAGGAATGCACCACCTGATGGGGGAGACTGGGCTTGCCCAGGGAGTACATCAGCCGTCAGGAGTGTCTCGCCAGGCAGAGTTCACAGTGTCTTCATGCTAACGGGCACCCCAGAGGAGGTGGGCCCATACTGACAGGTTTCTGTCAGGGGGAAAGCCACCATTTGGCCACTGAGGCTGAGGACAGCCCCTCACATGTGGCCGGCTGCACCAGGAGTCAAGGGGGGCAGGAGTGCTGATTCTTGGCTGGACATTCTCAAAGGGCTCCTAAAAATCAGCCCTAGAGAGAAGCGTCAAAGAAGAATCTTAACTCTCAAGACAAAAGGCAATTCAAAGCCTAGTCCTTTCTCACTGTGGCCGCCCTGGCTCACCTGAGATGGTAGCTGCTGTCTCCTCAGCTAGGAGGCGGTCTTTCTCTTCCCGGAGCTTCTCCAGCTCTCGCTGGTGCTGCCGCTGCAGATCTTCGATCTTCTTCTGGTGTGTTTCTTCCATCGCTGCAAATCCTCGCTCACATGTAGCCTGCAAAATGCAAAAGGCTTGGCGAACTTCTTCCTTCGCCTCTTAAGTCAGGCACTTGTGCCAGCTCTGCACAGCCCAGGTGCCACCAACATTCACTAAGCAGACCCCATGGTAAGTTCCCTGCGGGTGGGACAGGTTCTCTCGAGCCATCTGGAAATTCTCACTGATGCTAGCAGAGCATCTAGAAAACAATGTTCCCCCTCCATAAATTCTGTATTTTATTTTTGCACCTATTCTGAGCCGTTCTTCACGGGAAGGGCTGGTATGGGGGGTGGGGAGGGGCTGCAGTGAAATTTAAATAAGCCAATCCTAGACCTTCCAGTGTCGATGTCAGGCAGAACACCTTGGAAAGACAGAGAACAAAGCACAGACACAGAGGCTGGTGTTGCCTGGCTTAGATGGACACAGCGAGAGGCTCTCCATGCCCGTCAGCAATAGTGCTGAGGGATTTATGAACTGGAGAGAGGTAGGGCCACCCTGCAAGTGGTAGGTAGCCTGGTGGTACCAGCTGAACTCAACCACCCCACACGGTGGGCTGGGGGTACGTACAGCTATCGCTGGGAGTGGGGGCCCTGCTGCTAGCCAGCTGGTAGCCTGACTGGCCACTTAACTGCGCAAGTGTCCACTGAGCTGAGAGAGTGAGGGTGTGCTGAGTGATCTCACTTCTAACCTACGTCATCTTTCTTCCTTTTTCTTCCAAAGGAGAATAAAATGCACCAATTAGTGCTCCTACCGCGAACTTTAACAAAACAGAAGATCTGCTTTCCAAGCTTCTCTGTGCCTCATCACACCTTGAAGGACAAAGGTGCATCCTAACAAGAGAGCAAAGAATCTCCCCCACCACCATTGGGGAGCCTGGGCCTGGACACGGGACCTGAGCTGCGCAGGTTGACAGAGCAGGTGGCGTGTGCATGGCTGCTGGGGAGCATGCAGCTACTCCGAGCACAGAGGCCCTTTCTGTCTCAAACTCCCACAAGCTCCACTTCAGTGCACAGAGCAGGCTGTTGGCTGAGTTCTAAGAAGTGGAAGAATATGGGCATGTCCTATCCCACACAGTATGGCTCTCCACTGCAGGTTCCCAATCCCACTTTACTTGGCCAATCTTCCTACACATGGATTCAAGAAAGGAGAGCAAGAAATCAAATTGTCATGGCTGATGTCTCTACTGAGCCCCAGAGTCAGCCTGGGCCCCTAATGAGAGCCCCAGGCAGGATTTCCAAACAGCCAGATATAGTCCGGACTTTACCACTCCTACTGCAGGGGAGCAAATGCTTCAACGCCTGTCCACTGCCAACTGGGCACCCCACGGGGACCAGACAGCAGCGTTTAACCCAGCGGAGCAGCTGCGGGAGTTCTGGGCTCTGCCTCCTGCCCTCCAGCTCCAACACTGATCCCTTTCCTCCCTTGCTTTGTTCCTGTGTGGCTTCTCAGATAGCACACTTAACTAGTAGCTTTTACGCATCTTATTTTGATTTAAATGTATTGAAACATATGAAGACAATGGTCAAAACTAATAAAAACGCTAAAGTTTCTCTAAAGGCCCACTTGCTTCCTTGGAGAGAATGTATATATTAAAAAATAATCTGGCTGGGCGCCTGTGGTCAAGCGGCTAAGGCGCCAGTCACATACACCTGAGCTGGCAGTTTGAATCCAGCCTGGGCCTGCCAAACAATGAAGGCTGCAACCAAAAAATAGCTGGGCATTGTGGCGGGCTCCTGTAGTCCCAGCTACTTGAGAGGCAGAGGCAGGAGAATTGCCTGAGCCCAGGAGTTGGAGGTTGCTATGAGCTGTGATGCCACAGCACTCTACCCAGGGCGACAGCTTGAGGCTCTGTCTCAAAAATAAAAAAAAAGAAAGAAAAAGAAAATAACTGATCTGTGGCTCAGGACCTGTAGCTCAACAGCTAGGGTCCTGGTCACATATACCAAAGATGGCGGGTTCGATCCCAGCCCAGGCCCGCCAAACAACAATGACAACTGCAACCAAAAAATAGCCAGGCATTGTGGCAGGCACATGTAGTCCCAGCTACTTGGGAGGCTGAGGCAAGACAATTGCTTAAGTCCAAGAGTTGGAGGTTACTGTGAGCTGTGATACCACAGCACTCTATCAAGGATGACATAAGACTCTGCCTCAAAAAAAAAAACCCAACAGCTGATCTGTATACAGTTTTTTAGAGATGGATCTTGCTATGTTGCCCAGGCTGGACCCAAACTCCTGGGCTCAAGCCATTTTCTCACCCCAGCGCCCTGAGTGGCTGGGACAAGTACCTGCCGCAAAGACTTCTAATCATCCTTGGGACCAAAAAAAGCTCCTCAATGACTTCCACGCTAAGTTGTGGCATCTAAAGTGGGACTGTCAGGTCAAGAGCCCACTTCTCTGCCCAGGCAGAAGTCTGCAAATGTGGTGGCTATTGGCCAGGCTTTAAGTGCTATCTGGCTCTAAGTTCTAAAGGTCTGAAGGGGCTGATGAGAACACAGCACAGGGTGGAGGATGCTGTGCCGTGGTGGCACCAAGCAGCATAAAGCGGGCTGTGTGCGAGGCCTGGAGGGTCCATATCCAATCCTAGCACAACCTTTGGCCAGTTTCCAACATGAGTAGCTATTTCTTCCTGCTTCTTTGCTGACTGATGGCATTATACCACCTGCACTGGGCCTCATCTGTGGCCAGGCTGACCAACCTACAATAGCCCCCATGGACACAGCTCTTGTGTGTACAAATAGGAAGCAGGTCATCAGCATGGGCATCATGCCCAGACACCTGCCCACAAGGAAGGCTGCTGGGTGCTCTGTGAGGAAAGGCACTAGGGAGTATGTCTAGGCTTTCAGAGGCACACCTGGCCCATGTGGACACTGCTCTCAGCACACTGAGCAAAGCACGGCCACAGACACACTTTAGAAAGCAGCTGCCGAGATTTTTTCAGAGTCCACAATGGTGTGGGGCAAGGCAGGCACTCCTGATGCCTCCTGCTGGCCCCACAGCCCTGCTGTCATGTGACGTTAATCCAAGAACTGCCAGCTCACTGCATGCATTCCTTTTTCACTCATAGCCAGAGAAATAAAGTGCTGGGAAACAAGATCCCTAGTGTTCCACAGGACAGTGGCCATGGGGACAGTGTATACAGGACCAGTATGGCAGCTGCTGGTGAGCCAGGAGCTCACTACAGGCACACCTGGGGAGCAGTGTTGGCTGAACCCTTGTCCTGCTCAGCTATACAAGCACTGGAGCTCGAGGGGCCTGGGCATGTACTAGGATAGTTTCCAGCAGGAAGAACATGTGTCACAGGTACTAGGGCAAACTTCTGAGGCTAACCAGGGCCCCAAAAGCTCAAGATGATAATGCGTAGACAGCCATACACATGATGTGGCCTGTGCTTACAAGGCTCCCACACTGCTCTGGGAGTCACCTTTGTGTGCCAGGGCTTCAGGCAGAGTGTGAAATGAGGTGGGATGCAGGGCAGTCCAGGGGAAAGGCCACTTTCTAGAGCTTCAGAGAAGGGAACAGGAGTGGCTGGACACGGTGCTATGTAGGAAAGCCCTTTTTATCAGGTGCCCGTCCAAGGCCAGCTGCTCACGGAGAGCTGGGGTGAGAGACAGATCATCAACACTGTCCTGCAAACATTCCCATCTGCTGGGAAAACCCTATTCCACTCTCCAAGACTATCAGGAGGAGACTGCCCCTCCAAGGAGGCCTTGGGTCTGCACTAGGACAGGGGGTGTTTGTGGAAAACAAAAAGGAAGTGAGGCTGGTGGGGTGGGGGTTGCTGTGGTGAACAGGAGGGAGGTGATGAGGCTACACTGTCCTTTCCCCAGCCCCGCCTGCCCTCTTGCCGTCTCTCCTGCCTGGTGGGTGATGCTTGGGGGATGTTAAGCCTGTGGCCCAGGCTCTACTCTAAGACCACCCTGTTGCCAGCAAAGGGTAGACAGCGGCCCAGTGAGGTGTGGGCAGTGGTGCGGCCTCTTAGTTCTGCTAGCACAGTAGCCAAGGGCCAGCACCCAGCCTCCCATCACGAAGGACAATCTGCTTTACAAATCAAAGGATGCACCAGGACCTTAAGGCTCTCAAAGTCCCTCTGGTACTTCTCCTGCAGTGTGGCCGCGTCACCCTCCAGGTCCTTATGGCCCAGCTCCTCCCGCATAGCATTCATCTGGGCCTCCAGCTCCTGGATGCGCTCCCGCAGCCCCGTCATGGAATCGGCCTCCCCTTCCATGGCCTCCCCGTGGGTGGAGAGGGCTGACAGGGCCCTGGGGTGCTGGCCCTGGTGGAGGCGGAGTGTCTCCTGCAGGCAGCGCAGGCTCTGCGAGCAGTGCTCTTGCAGGGCCCGCAGCTCCTCCCCGTGGATGGCCTGCAGCTCCTGGATCTTAAGCTGGAACCTGTCCTCCAGCGTCTGCATCTGTACCACATGCTGCCGCTCCATGTCCTGTCTGTCTCTGACAGAGGCATCCAGCTGGCTCAGCACCCGGCTGCGCTCAGCCTGCAGTGAGCTCTGGGCCCTGTTCAGCTGCTCTGCCACACAGCGCATCTCCTTGGCGTACCTGCCCTGCAGGGCACACATGCTCGCACTGTGCTTGCTTTCCACCTCCTCCAGACTCTGCTGCTGCTGGTCCAGCTGGGCCGCCTTGGCCTTGAGCTCTGTGTTTTCCCTTTCAATGACAGCAATCACTTCCAGGTACTCGCTCTTCTGCTTACGGAGAAGGTCTTCGTACTCATCCCTTAGAACCCTGACGGCTTGGGCAGGCTCCAGGCAGAAGGTGCCCCCAGTCAGCCGGGACTCCTTACAGACCTGGAGCTCCTTTTCATACTCCAGCCGGATCCTGCAAGCTGCATAACACACCTGAGCCTGAACAATTGCATCTTGTACCAGTAAAGAGGAATACTGACCCAGGCCGCCCAGACAAGTGCTATATGAGAGAGTCTGGGACGCCTGAAGCAGTTTCTGGCAATCTCTCAGAGCTGCCGCAGGTGGGAGCGATGGTAAAGAGGCGGCTATCTCCTCTAAGATGCTGGCCTTCTCCTTTAGCTGCTGGGCCAGCTCTTCCTGAATAGCCACCAGGGCCCTGGAGCTCTGGGCAGATGACTGAAAGGGCTCCTGGGGGCCAACTGAGTCTTGGCTCAGCACTTCTGAGGGGCTCAGGTCCCAGGATGCAGGTACAGCATTGCCTGCTGGAAGCCTGAGGGACTCTGAGACCTGCCGCATCACCCTCTCAAAGTCTGGGGTCTGATAGGCGTCTAGGACCTGCCGCAGGGCGCACCGGTGCTGCTGTAGAGCCGTCTGGGTCCCCTGCAGCGTCTCCTGGACACTCTGCAGCCTGCGGCGAAGTGACTCCCGCACAGATTGTGCGGCAAAGCTGAGCTCTGCCCTGACCCACGTGGCGCTGGCCAGCACAGGAGCCAGGCCCTGTGGGGCGCTCTGCTGTCCACCTCCTGATGCAGAGACTGCCTCGCCTCCCAGTGTCCCCAGGCGCTTCCTCAGAGACTCAACCTGACTCCAGAACTCACCGTCCACCAGCACCTTCTTGGCCCAGGCATCGGCAGGAGCCCCAGTAGAGACCGTGGTGCTCTCAGACTCCAGCAGCAACTGTCCTGATTGAGGAATCTCGTGGAGAACATGGGAGATATCTGATGTGGTGTTCTTCAGAGAGTCTGCTATTTGACTGATCAGCGAGGCCTCCAGAGCAATTTGTTCAGAAAGGAGCCTCACCTGCTCCTGCTCAGTCAGCCGCCAAGGAGCTGGTACTCTGCTCCCTGTGGAGTCACCCTCCTCCAACTGGGCACCAGCCCCACTGTCAGCCGAGGCTGGCCAGTGTTGTAGGGCCTGGATGGCGCTGACCAGGGCACCCTCCATACTGACCAGGGAGGCAGCACACACATTCTCCTCATCTTTCTGGCCAGCCCTCAGCAAAGATGTCAGCTGCTCTCGGCAGTTTTCCAAGTAGGTCAAGGCCTGACTGTTTTTCACCTGGAAGTCGCCAAGCTCCCCAACATGACCTTCGACCCTCCTGGACCTCTCCTGCCTCTCCTGCTCCAGTTGGGAAGTCAGTGCTCCGACCTGGAGCAGGCTGGTGTGGAGCTGCTCACGCAGCTGGGCCTCGGTGCCAGCCCACTGGTGGTGCAGTGCCAACAGCGCCTCCTGGCTCTGGCCCTGCTGGCTCTCTAGCCGGATGGTCACATCTTTGAGTTTCTCTTCTGTGACGTACAGCTTGGTCTCCAGGGAGTGGATGATGGAGAGATACGTCTCAGAGTCACTGCTGGCAGGCAGCGTGCTGGGTGCAGGCTCTGAGGACATGCTTTCCTCTGAGGGTGACCGGTCCTGGCTGGTGTCAGAAGATGTACTGCTGGTCCATGTCTTCTCTGACCCTTCAGGGTGGACGTACCTCTGACACTGGATTGTGGAGAAACGAATCCTCTGTCTTTTGACCCCAGGTGCCCCCTGGTCAGTTCTGCCTATGCCATGTGGGTGCCCCTCCCTGTCAGGCACTTCTGCCAACTTTAGGAGCACCAGGCTCTCTTCCCCACCAAGGCTACTGTCACCACACTCCTCCCCTGGGATGGTTCCCAGGTCCTCCTCCTCCTCAAGTCTTGTATGTAGGCAGCCCAGAGGTGCCACAGTGACTTGAAGCTGTTGGCCCAAGAGCAAAATGCCATCTCCTTCTATTTCTTCTTGGGCACTCTGTGTCTCTTCCACATCCTTTGAAGATTCATTTGCAAATTTCCTTAAAATCTCTTCCTTTGCCTGAAGCTTAATTTCTGTTTCCTCTAAGCTGCTCCCCAAAGCAACCATTTTAACCAAAGCCTCATTGAGGTCTTGATTTTTCTTCTCCAGGACTTTCCTGTGTACTTCCTTGATGCACTCCAGCTCTTCCTCCTTCTCTCGGAGCAGCACATGCACACTCTGGAGCTGGCTGGACACCCTCTGCAACGCATGCTCCAGGCGCTGACAGTCCGCCTCCCTCCCCTGCAGCTTCTCCTGGAGCTCAGTAACATCCCCATCAGACGTGGCCACTCGCTCTGTCAGCTCCTGCAGCCGCTGCCTGAGGAGGTCCCGCTCATCACAGAGGCTTTGCACGTGCTCGGCGAGCCTGCAGAGGCTTCCTTCCCGCAATGCCAGCTGCTCCTCCAGCTGGTGCACCTGCTCGCTGCCCTCAAATGAGGCGCTTAGCTTCTCTTTCTGGAGGGCCTCCACCTGCTGGGCATGGCCCTGCAGCTGGTCCTCATAGGCGGTGGCCTTGTCCTCAGCCTCACGCAGGCTCTGCAGCAGCGCCTGCTTCTCCTTCTCACAGCTGTCCAGCAATAGCTCGTAGTTCCTCCGCAGCTTCTCCTCCATCAGTCGCTGCGCCTGCTCACTGGCACCAAGCTGCTGGCTAAGGTCGGCGATGCGCTCCTGCAGCCTCTGTGCCTCCTTCTGCCGGTCCTGCTGCAGCGCCTGCTGTGTCTCCAAGCCTCGCAGCTCCTGCGTCTTCTCCAGAAGCAGGGCCTCAGCACTCTTGAGCTTCTGCTCACTGGCCCGCAGCTGGCCGCTCAATGCCGCCTCGCTGTGTTGCCACTCCTCCAGCTGCTCGCGGGCCCTGCCTTGCTCCCGTTTCAAGTCTGCCTTCAGCTTGGCCAATGCCTGCTCCTTGATGACCAGCTCCGCGGCAGCATTGCTAAGCCGCGCCTGGAGGCTCCGGATCTCGGCCTCGTGGTGCCGGATCGCACCCTTGGCCTCCCCATAGCTGCGTTTCAGGGTCTGAATCTGGTGCGTGATCAGCTCCTGGCGCTGGCACTGGGCTTCCAGCTCACTTTGGAGGTCTTGGTTGACTCTATGGAGCCTCTGCCAGGCACCCGATGGGGAAGTGGCCACTTCAGTCTTAAAAAAACCGATTAAATACTGGTTAGTAACACTCGGGCCTCCCAGTTCTGAGTGTCACATCTCTGGCCAGGAGCAACCACAGAAAATCTCCTTGGTGGGTTTGGTTTTTATCCTTTGTGCAATTTTTTCCCCCATTAAAAAATCCGACAAATAATCTTATTATTTTTTTTTGTTAAGTAGCTGCTTCCAGATAAACAGAAAACATGGATAATAACATCAAAAAACAGCTTTAACTGAACAGCTTCTAGGAGAAATAAATAAAAAAAAACTGAAATGATGGTGCACACTGAGAAGCAAAAGAAGACTCAAGGACAGAGTGTGGCGGGAAGGAGGAAAGGAGGGCGCAACGCGGTAGCGGTCAGCTCTGCAAATGGAAAGTGCAAGGTCCCTTATACCAAAGCCTGAAAAGGCGCAGGACATAAGGGTAAGTAAATGATGTCACTTCCTTCTCAGAAAGGAAGAGAAGGAAGGAAAGTGTGCTGGGACCTGTCAGCAAGGGGACACCCACACTCTCCTCTGCCGAGTATAGCCAGTCCTCCACAGGAACGGGAGGGCTACTCTACCTGCAAGAAGACAAAACAAGGGCAGAAACGTGGAGAAAATCTAAACCAACAAAATAAACAAACCTTTGTGAAATTCAAAATAAGAAAATAAAGCGTGCGAAAAACAAAACAAAACACGAATGAAACGAAACTTCCCCAAACTGAAAAAGCATGCACAAAAGACAGAACCCGAACAATGTGGGGGGACCAACACAGATAGCAGTGAAGTGAGGCAGGACGGGAGCCCGGCCTGCCTGTGCCCCTCTTGGTGCGCTGGCCAGGGAAGCCACAGATGTGACACTCAGTTACATTACGTTCAAACCACACTCTGCCGTCAGCACCCATAAGCTCACCCCCCCAGCACTGCAGTACCCACCCACCAGCTGCTCTTGCTGGCCCTTCACCTCAAAGACTCCTTGCTCTCTCTGACTGATGGTTAAAAGCATTTCCAAAACTCAAAAAGGTGGTGAAAAGTAACAAGTTATTAGCTTAGCAGAAGGTATTAAGACCAACTTTGCCCAGGGACTCACAGGGGCTTCAGTGCAGGCTCATGCAACTACTCAAACCAGACAGAGAGGGAAGTTCCCAGCTTTGTAACGTGCAAAGCCTACTGCTATCACGGGCTGAGTATCCCTTATCCAAATGCTTGGGACAAGAAGTGTTCTAGATTTTAAAACACTTGCATTACACTTAGCAGATGGGAATCCCAAATCTTAACATCTAAAATCAGAAATGCTTCAGTGAGCATTTCTTTTTAGCATAAATATCCTTCAGTACTCAAAAAGTTTTGAATCTTGGAGCATTTTGGATTTCTGATTTGGGGATGCCCACCTGCATCTTTACCACCTGACCTGAAGTTAATTCTTATAGGATAGGGCCCAATCAGGGCTTTAGAGATGCTCTCCACCCTTGGAAGGCCCGAGTGAGAGACCTGCAGAGAGGCCCACCATTGTCACTGCTGGTGCCCAAGGTCTGAACTGGGCCTGGCAGTAACTGCAACGGAGGAAGCTGGGAAGGAAGGTCCAAGGTATATGAGGGAAAAGGAAAGAGAAGGCCCAAGGTACATGTAGCAAAACAAATAGCACCAAGAAGGGCAAGAAGACAGATTAGGCAGAGGGCAACCCAGTGCTACGCGGATGCCTCAGACCAGGCCCAGTGCCTGGGGTGTGAAATGCCAGCCCTCAACCTCATCAGATGCTGGGTCTTTGAAAGCCACAGTGCTCTCAAAGGCCTGCTGGGTCTAAGCCTGCACAGGCAAAGGGCTACTGCTGCAGGAGAGGGAACACAGGTAGAGAGGGCTACTGCTGGGGGGGAGGGAACACAGGTAGAGAGGGCTACTGCTGGGGGGGAGGGAACACAGGCAGAGAGGGCTACTGCTGGGGGGGAGGGAACACAGGTAGAGAGGGCTACTGCTGGGGGGGAGGGAACACAGGTAGAGAGGGCTACTCCTGGGATGGGGAGGGAACAGAGGCAGAGAAGGCTACTGCTGGCAGGGAGGGAACATAGGCAGAGGCAGGACTTGAACTGAGGGCCCTCACTCTAATGCCAGATCTTCAGCCTTTAGGAGAAATAGGCTCTCCAGTCTGGCACCTGGTTTCACCCCTCCCCCAGAGCTAAGTCAATAACCTCCCCGAGGATGGCAGTTCCATGAGGGCAGAAGCATCTCTGGTTTGCCCCAGAATGAGCATAGGGCCCAGGGGTCCTCAAACTTTTTAAACAAGGGGCCAGTTCACTATCCCTCAGGCCACTGGATGGCTGGACTGTGGGCCCTGGGACAAGTCTGCTACTAAGCAGGACAGGCAGCAGTGGCAAAAACACCAGGCGGGCCAGATAAATGTCCTAGGCGGGCTGCATGTGGCCCACAGGACGTCTGGTCTAGAGCAAGGCTAGGCCCTGCCTCGTGACAACCCAGGTTGGCCTCCACTGGCCCATGAACCCAGCTGCTAGCTAGGAGCTTTGGCACAGAGATCCCAGGGAGGTGTGCTAGGAGTGGGCAGTCAGGACTCGAGCTGCAGCCACCTCATCTCCTCACTAGGCACGGCTGGCTGAGTTGGCCCAGGGGTAGGTCATCACATATCTCCCTAAACTTCAGCGCAGGTACAAAGTAGAAAGTGGGGCTGCAGAAAACATAAACAGAGCTAGCCTCCCAGAGTGCTGAGAACTCAGGCCCCAAAGCAGAGCCCAGAGGCACAGCCTGGGGACAGGTGGCCTTGCCACCCGGGTTTTGCTTGTTGCTCTCCTGCCTGGCTGCAAGCTGGAGCATGAGCCCTGCTCTCTGAAGCCCCCGGACCCCACACAGCCCCGCCCACCTACCTGCAGCACATAGCCCTCCCGCGCACTCTGCTCCCGGCCCAAGGCCACTCTCAGCTGGTCCTGCAGGAGTCGGTTCTGCTCCAGAAGGTCTGAGGCCTCCCTCTGGCTCTGCTCCAGCTGTTGACCAAAAGACATTTTTAAAACAAAATGATAATAAAGAAAAGCAGACACAGAACACAAACCCTCAGAGGTATTTGTGAGTGCAGCCAGGCTTCCACACGGAGCCCCTAAACCCCCACAAAGATGAAGCCTGGTCTCCACGTGCAGCACTGAGAACTGTCATCCCAGCTTGAGCTGTCAGCCTTGGTGTCTTCTGGGGAGCCAAGGAGGGCCCTGTCCTTTTCTACCCATGTAACTTCCATACTTGCTCACGGTCCAAATCTACAGGCCCATACATGCTCTATGTCCCATCTTTTCCCCAGGGAACAAGGAGGGGGATGGCCCCATGGGCCCTCCAGTGTCCTCAGCTGCCCACACCTGCCAGCTGGAACTCCCACAGCAGGCCTTACACAGGGACTGTTGTGGCTTCACCTGAAACTACTCCAGTTGACCAGTTTGACATGATGGATTCCACATAAAGTTCTATTTCCAAAAAGGTTCCTACAGTTACTTCAAATAAGACATGAAAACCTACCAGTAAGCTATTTTACACCCCTCTTGCTTTCCACAGCTTCAGAGTCACTCTCTCATCCATCTGCCTCTTCCTCACAGGTTTCCTGGGTACCCACTTGCCACCTAGCTGTGGGGAGGGCCACCTCCCCCATTTCAGGGGCTGTGATAAGTGGGAGCTGAGTATACACAGGCCAGCTCCTCCCAGGGCACTACCAGGCTACTGTAAGGTGGAGACACCCCTGACTTCCCAACACTAAGGACGGACTACTATCTAAAGCACAGACTGCTGCACCAGCTGAACTAGTGTGTGGCCTGCTAACTAGCCCATTCTGGTAGCTTACAGCAATGTAAATTTGAATTGTAATTTTATTTCAACTTGCTTCTTTTGTCAATGAGTGTAGAAAATAAACAGCAAAAGTGTCAATGCCAGTGATAACTCAGCCTCACAAATTTAATAAAATAGGAGAAACACAAGAAGTGTGAGGTCTGCCAGTGTCTGCCTGTTAGCTGCTTATGCAAAATAATACATCTGAAACAGCCTGCTGAAGACTGGGGGGCGGGGCTAAGCAGAAAGTTAACAAAAACCATGACGCTGTACCTCCTCTGCCAGCGCTCTCCTGACATAGGTTTGCAGATCTGGTTTCAGGGTACACTTCCATGAGAACATCTCATGCTACACAGCAGGGGCTGGTGTGTACCAGCTGTGCCCTGGGCTGGAGGACAGGCATGCAGGTGACCTTGTGCCCCTCATCCATGCCTTAGTACCCAGGCATGGCCTACTGCCTGCCATGCCTCCTTGGGTCGCCTGGCTGTCCACAGGCCAGTCACAGAATCCAGGCTTATCTTTGCCTCCAGCTTCCGCCTGCTTAGCCCCCACTGCCCCTAGTGCAGAAGGACATCTGACTCTGCTCACATCTCCTGCCCTTTAATAGGAAGGACAAGGCCTCCACCGTGGGCCCTGCCTCCCCCGTGGGCCACCCCACTTGCTTTCCATCTGGCTCCTGAGTTCTCTCAAGGCTCTGATGACCCCAGCCCGACCCCTGCACAAGCTGGCACACTCCTGCATCTCCCAGCATCTGCCTTAGCATAAGAACCTGCTGTATGTCTATACCCCAAGGAGTCTGCACATCCCTTGAGGGGAAGGACTGTGAGGCCAAACCCCTCGGGCTATGGCTGGGCACACCACCTGCTCAGGAAAGGCTGCTGCAAGGGAGCCTACCCAAGCCATTACCTCCTTCTCCAGCAGAGAGGTCAGCTCGTGAGTGGAGAGCCGGTCTCCTCCATCCTCTGAGGAGGACAGGTGCAGGGGGGCAATGGGCACCTGCTTTTCTTCTCGGAGAGGGGTGGTCTCCACTTGATGCCATCGCTGCTCAATCTCCACGTGGACATTCTGTGTCTTGAGGTCGGGGGCCACAGGCAGCCCTGGGCTCCTGTCCACTTCCATGCGCAGAGCCACATCATCCGTGTCCTGCATCCCGAAGCGCTTGCGGCGCTCTTCCCTCCGCCGTGCACGCTCCCGCTCTAGCTCACCGGTCTCTGCCTCATGAGTATCAGGGGTCCCTATGGCATAAGCCCTCTCCTGAGCCAGGGCCTGCTGCATGGGGCGAAACTCAGCCCAGTCAAAGGTCTTGGAACGGCCCTCCCTTCTCCGCTCCCGAGCTCGGCTCCTCCTCTGCTCAGTGTCTAGCTCCCCAGACTCCGCCTCCTGCTTCTCACTCAGCCTTGGGCAGGTCTCACAAGAAGGGCTGCTCTTGCTCTTTTCTTCCGGCAGGGAGCTGTGAGGCAGGAGGCCAAACAAAGCTTCTGTGAGGGGCAGCTCTGGGGACCCCACCCACCAAAGGACTCAAGCCCTGTTTGGACCACACCCCCTCTTCTACCCCAGCTATAGCCTCCTAAGTGCAAGGGGGGACAGGGACACTATGCCTTTACCCCATTGACCCTCTCAAAGGGTAGGAAAAGAACTTCAGACAGCCTGAGATTTCCAATACTAGCAGGACCCTGTAACTGCAGGGGCGCTGGACAAGGCACATCCTGGTGGCATTGACCCAGGGTGATGGAGCCTGGTGACTCCCACAGTCCACAGGCAGGATGGGGTTGGCCCTGATCCACTCAGGGACAATGCCAAGAGCTGTATCAGGCTGTGTTGTGGCACAGCCCCTGTCCAAATGCTTTGTGAGGCACCTCTGTGCATGTCTGGATTGGGTGGTGGTGACAGAATAGAGAACTAGCTACTTCCCCAGAAAGGCTCAGAGGTTTTAATAAGCAGGTAACGTGATCAGATCTGCATTTTGTAAGCTCATTCTGGCTGCTGGTATGACAGATGGATCTGTCTGAAAGGCTGAGGCCACCTATGGGCAAAGGAGAGAGGTGACCACAAGCCCACAAGGGGGAGGGAGGAGGGGAAAGGAGACTTAGCAATTTGCCACACTGAGGTAGTGATAGGCGGCCAGGGGCACAGTCCACACAGGCTGTACTGATGGGCACATCTGGCTGCCCACCAGCAGCTCAGAGCAGAGCAAGTGCACCTAGGTGTGCCTTCTCTCAGCTTGCCCAAAGACTCCAAGAGAGTGCTTGCCCAAGCAGAGAAGAGTAGAGGTTGCTGATAGCAATTTTGCAAGGAAGCCAGGAACAGATTTGAAGCAAAGGTTTCTAGGCTCTGTGAATAAGCCCCAGAGGCTAAGAGGAGCGGTCTCCAGTCAGGTCCAGGCCCTCAGAAAGGAGCGAAAAGCCACCCAGGGACAGTGAGGGCCAAGGAGGAGATTTAGGGAATATATATGTTTAAATCTGGCCCACAAAGCTCACAATAGAGGCACCTAAGGAAAAGAGAAAGTGGCTGCCACCACCCCCAGGGGCTGCCTAGCAGCAAGCTGGAGAGAACCAAGATGCTGTGGAGTGGCCAGATCTGCCAGTGTCCAGCATGAGACACCGATTTCTGGATGAAAAGTGATCAGAGCGATCTGCACCATCACTGAGTTGACACCTGCTCTGGCTCCCATGGAGGGCAGGCGGGATAGTGCACAGGCAGATAGTGGACAGGGACCACAGGGTCCCACACCTCCCAGACAGAGGAGGCAAGAGAGAAAAGGAAGACCAACAGCTTCTGAAAGCAATCCCACCTTCATGCCTCTGGGGATTTTGTCTTGTAGCTCTAAAAATATTCACATTTTCCTCAAAAAATAAAAGCCTATGTAGGAAGAAAAAATATTAAAAACAACTTAGGGGTAGATGAGCATGCTACTAACTTGTTAAGGCTCTATGAAGTAAGCCAAGCAGAAAGATAATCACCAAGTCAACTTTTTATAGAAACAAATATGTAGTCTCTTCATTCACCCCCGGCCGGCAGTCCCTGAAAGCAGGGAGGTGGGCACTAGAGCACAGCAGGCCACCTCCACTAGACCCATGTGCACAGGGGCATTCTTCACACCTGCCCTGGCATCTCCTAAAGATGACTTCTTCCAGGCAAGACCCTTGATCCACAGCACAGAGCCAGGCCTATCCCTGTGCCCATCTGTGTCCACCCCTGCTGCAGGCTCCATCTGCTGCCACAGCCTAGCAGAGAAACCCAGGGAACCTCCTCACTGGGCCCACCAAGCTTGGGCCTCTGCTCTTGGTGGGAGAGCACAGAGGCAGTGCAAAGGCCACCAAATCATGCGGCAGCGGCACACACAGACAGTTGCTGCACCCAACACCCCAGCTCTCCAAACAGGACCCTGGAGGCAGAAAATAGGAGGCCAGTCCTGGTCCCACTCATGTAGCAACAACTATTAATAGGCAATACTTGTCTAGAAAAGGAATGAACAAGTGACAGACACAGCAAGGAGGACTCTGTGTTCAAAGGAGCCTGGAGCTAGCAGGAAGGAGACAAAGGTCTGGATAAAGAAGGGGACGGCCAAGGCTGCCCCAGGTGTGACCTTATGGTCTACCTGAGGAAGGGTCTGCACCACAGGGCCTGAGAGACATGCCCAGAGGTGCTAGACACAGGGGGTATTGAAGCCTGAGGGTGGGGGAGTGGGGGCAGAGTTCTGGGGTTCTCACTTGCTATTAATATGAAAGCCAGTGTGTTGCTGACTTGCTGACTTTCAGGGAAGGAGGAAGAAGGCTGTGGTGAAACCCAAGGTAGCCTCATAGGGCACCAACACAGGGGGACAGTTTTCCAATCTGGCTTCAGCTCCAAGAATTTCAAAAAAAAACCTCTGCCAGTTGCACGGAAACAGAACAGATATAGGAGTGAAACGAGAAGGAGGTTGAGACACAGAAGTGCCGTGGTGGCCAATGAACACAGTGCCCAGGGCTGCCCTTGCACTGACAGCACAGTGGCCACAGAGCCAACAGATTCACCGGCCGGGCACCCACCAACCAGGATGGAAGCTTCTCTACTGAAGTGGAGCTTCGGTGTAACAGCTCTGGTAACAGGCAGAAGCACGCCCTGCACTGCTACACTGGCCAGGGCAAACAAGGAAAAGGAGCCTGGAGGCAGAAAAACCAGAAAGCCAAAAGGAGGCCAAACAGTAGTGAGACAAACGGAAGAGAGAGAAGCCAGGCTGGGCTGTGGCAGAAGCTGAAGGGCTCCCCCAGCACCTCTGCCATCCTACCTGGTCACATCCGGGGCAGTGGCTGGGTGCACGTGCTTCATGATGGTCTGGATCCAGTTCCGCCGGATTCCAGATGTCATGGCTGACAAGGTGAACTCACCCTCCTTTGTCTACAAAAAGACACACAGTGTTATCAGGGACTGTCCCTTGGAGGTGTCTGCTGACTCCCACCTGCAAAGAAGGCCCCTGCGTTGGATACAACCTGCAAGAAGCAGGGCTGTGGCTGGCAGCCCTCCCAGGAGAGCTCCCTGTGTCCTGCTATGGGGGAGAGGGCAAGGAAGGCCTAGAGTGCAAGACACCACAAAGCTGTGGTAGGGACATGCTTCTATGGCAACGGTCAGCCACGTATCTCCCCTTGAAATGATCAGAATACATTTACTGAGCACATACTATGTACTAGCAGTATACAAAAGGAGTTCCCAGTCTCAGAAGGATGGACAGAAGCCAGCCTGTGCTAAGCAGTGTGAAAGATGCCCATAGACACACAATGGGACAGCGCAGTAAGAGCAGCTTGGTCGTATCGAGAGAAGACAGGGAGACCCACCAGGCAGCTACTACAAACACCCAAGTGATGGGAAGTAAGGCAGTGTGGCAGAGGAGAGGTTAGGCGAGGCTCAGGCTCAGCAGCAGTAAGAAGTGTGGGCAGGGTGTGTCACTGACTGGGGCTGGGGAGACCTTAGAACAAGCCCCAGACTCTAGCTTATATGAGCCAACAGGACCAGCAGCCAAAACAGACAGTGGTGGGGGGAAGCCCATTCCGGTGGGGGTGGGTGGGACATAATAAACACCCAGAGCAGTGTGGCCTCTGGGACAGGACCCAAGTCCCCAAGCAGCCCTGTCCAGCACCTCTCAGAAAGAAGGTATATGGCATGTCCCAGGTCAGTCCCTAGGCCTGATGGCACAGAGAAGACACCAAGTGTGGTTTCTGGCTGGTCCTGCCTTAAGGTTATAGGAAGAACTAGACAGGTTGGCTGCTAACTCTGAACTGTAGTCCCTACCCAGTAGCTGTGAGGGCCGAAGCCTGTGAAGACAGTTTTCGGATGGGCCTTAGCTTGGCTAAGGGTGTAAACATGTGCTGGTATGGTCACAAAGTATAGTACAGACTGACCTGCCCCCCAACCTTGGTTCCCCCTACTCCCAGCTGGGCTCCCTTTCATGAGTCCCCACCGCTGTACTCCTCTCCAGGGCCTGCCCTTCTCCATCCCCAGTATGAACACTGCAGGAGTCTAGCCTCAGTTATCCACATGGACTCTATTTCCCCAGGTACCTGCTGAATTCTCTTCATGGGCCCACCACAGGCTCAAACACACCACAGGCCAGAACTACAGAGGCCTACCTCCAAGCCTGCCCTTGGCTTCTACCAGGCCTCACCATGCTATGGTCTTGGCCCCTCCTCTACCTGCTCTTCCAGTGGTACTCAACTCCTTCCTTCCATGACAGCCTCACTATGCCCACCTGCCTTGCTCCCTTCTATCTATCCTCCACGTCCTAGTGAGCATGTCTCATAGACACATCACCACCTGGTGTCTACCAACACCTTCCAGTGCTTTCCAAAGCTTTAGGGCAAGACCAGCCACCCACCTCTCCACCTGGTCCCTAACCTGCTTCTTTTCTGTGCCACCAGGTCTGGGACACACTGCACACTGGGCCCTCCGGCCATGCCTAGTGGACCCTCCTCCAGAAGACCTCACACTGATAACTTTTTTGAGGACAAGGCAATGCCATGCTTATTTGAGTACCTCAGAAGACTATAGCCTAGTGAGTGAATGAACAAACAAATGAATATGTGAATAAAAACCTATTTCTCTGAGGTTTAAATAATTAAAAAACCAGCTCTGTGTCCGTAGCTCAGTAAGTAGGACACTGGCCACATACACCGAGGATTCTAGCCTGTCCCGAGCCTGCCAAACAACAACTACAACCAAAAAACAGACAGGTGTTGTGGTGGCACCTGTAGTCCCAGCTATTCAGGAGGCTGAGGTCACAAAGAGAATCACTTGAACCCAAGAGTTTGAGGTTGCTGTGAGCAATGATACCACAACACTCTACCAAGGGCGACATATTGAGACTCTGAGGAAAAGGAAAAAGAAAGGAGGAAAGAACGAAAGGAAAGAAAGGAAGAAAGACAGAAAGACACTTATTTCTTACTCCCCATATCCCACATCTTTTCAATTACTCCAAACACCAGCATTTTAAAAGAGAAAAAAAATATTCAAAACAAAAGCCCTTAAACAGTCTTGAGAAAGAAGATGTAATATGTAATTTTTTGTTCAGATCACAAATCGGAGGTAGGAGTTGGGTGCCAGGAACAAATGCATCATCGCCCACAGAAAGACAACCGCTGGCTGTACACGCTGCGCCCAGCCTGCCCAAAGTGCCCTGACCTAGACCATCTATCTCCCAAACGTGTCCCTGCTGCTTGCTCAAGCCCACAGACCCCCTCCAAATCCTGGGGCTCACATGTATCCGGAAGCCATAGTTTCTCTGTACTGGATATTCCGTGACATCATAACATGTAGACAAGTTAATTTCCCCATCCAAGTCGGCTGCCTGCAGAGAGAAATGAGAGGGTCTTATGAGATTTAGAAAGTAAGAGTCAATGCCCAGATGAGCAAGCATCCATGAGTGCCTTCCTACAAGGACTTTTAGCAGGCATGCACACTGAGAGGACGCTTGTACCACCCAGATCCCCTCCCTGGACACAACTACACCACTATCTGCCCAAGGCTGCTCTGCACACAGTAGTTCTAAAACACAGGTAATGCTGGAGTTCCTTTAGACGCTTCAAATCTGAGGACTCCAAAGAGGTTTTTTGTATATTTTATCTATTGACTACATACTAGAAATTAAAATTGAAAAATATAAACATATTTATTCATTTCAGAATAAAAAGAAACATTTCATTTAAAATAAAATTTTGACTAAAAAAAACAATCAGTCTTGACTGTTGTTAGTGTTTTGAAACAAGGCATTGTTTCAAATTTTTGCAAATCTCTTAAAATGTCTTGCTTGAGAGAGAATTCCCCTATTCTGTTTCTGCATTCAGTCTGTTCAGGACGTTGTTTAAAGTTTAATAAGACAACCAATTCTTACACAGGGACTTAGGAAAGGAAGCATTTGAATAGCCTTTCCAGGTAATTATGTATGCTTCTTTCTCTTTTCAAGTAGCTGGAACCAAATCCAGATGATGTTTTACAAAAAATTTTTATGGGCTCGGCACCTATAGCTCAACCGGCTAAGGCGCCAGCCACGTACACCTAAGGTGGCGGGTTCGAATCCCCAGCCCGGACCCG